ACCAAAAACTAGAAGGGAAGAAGCGAAAACGACAAAGATCGAGAGATAAAGAAGTAATGGAAAAGCGGCAATAAGAGGGAAATAATAAAGGACGCTAGAAGAAGGCAGGGAGCAAGGGAGTAGGTTAGATAAGGCAACACAATGCGAGACGCAGATGACAGTACACAAAACGAGGAAGAATGGAGAAGAAGCAATGCATGCGAAATAGTGTAAAGAAAAGTAAAACATGAGACCGGATATCAGAAAGGCAAAAGAAGGATAAAATGACAACAAGAAAAGGTGAGATCCGAGAAAGAAGGACAGGACAGGGAGGGGCGAATGGGAATCGATAAGTAACACGAAGAGAAGAGAATAGCTAGAACACTGAGGACGAAAAGAGTGCAACACAAGGAAGGTAATGAAAAGAGAACGAATAAAACAAGAAAGAGACAACAAGATGATGTAAAAAAACGAAGAGTAGAATCAAGCAAAGCAATACAGTGGGAGGAAGAGGAAGTGATAGAGAGGAAATAAGACATCAAAGGGGAAGATCAGAGTGAAGAGACAGGCATGATGAAAGAAGCGAGCAAGATAAGAAACACAAGTAGTAATGGACGAGCGAGAATGTGAAAAACACGCGCGAAAAGAAAGACCAATGAGAGACGAAACGAAAGGATGAAGTCAGAGAGAGAGGCCAACATTGAGAAAAATAGAAGGAAGAAGTGATCGAGGAAGACGTAAGGAAAGAAAGAGAGTAGGAAGCAAATAACAAAAAGAAACGAGTAAGATGTAAAGAGAAATAATCGATAACGAGAGGATAGATAGACGTGAAAGGAAAAAGCCACAGGTAATAAAACGATATGCAGAAGAGGAAAAATGGCTAATAATAACGAGAAGAAATAGCAAGGAAGAGAAGCCTAAACAGAAAGTAGGAATATTATCAACAATAGGGAGCAAGGAAAACAAGACAAGATGAAGAAGAAAGGAGGTACAGAGAAAGAGAAAGTCAACAGGAAAAGAGTGAGAAGAGAGACAAGATAGATCTAAGAGCGGCATAACAAGGAGGAATAGAACATAGGATACAGAGAAGACGACAATGGATAGGGAAAGGAGGAAAATAAAGTAAAAAAAGCAATAGGACGAGAAAAATGAGGAAAGAACGGCAGGAGTAAGGAATGAGGGAGAAAGGATGATGGAATGAAGAAGAAGCAAGGGAAAACAGAAAGGGATAGTGAGAAAAGGGGAGTACGGATAAAGCGGACAAAAGAGAGAGTAAGGATGAAAAGCGGCAAAAGACATATAGCTAGCGAATAGAGGGAAAATAAGTGATAAGAAAAGAAAATAAGAGCTACGCTAAGCAAGAGACAAAGAACTATTTGAGACATAGAAGGAAGAAAAGCAGTCAAAGGATACAAAGGACAGGCAGAGCAAAAGGGAAATGATGACAGGAGGGATAGGTAAAGGGAAGGCGTAGAGGCCACAAAGTCAAGAAGCAAAGAAGTGAAGAAGAGGGACAGAGACTAAGGAGAAGAGAGTAGGGAGCAATGCAGAGACGAGACTACGGAAAAGAGGGAATAGTGAATAAAGAAGTAAAGAAACAGGGTAAAGTGGAACAAAAAGGCACTAGACAAGAAAAAGAAAAGAGTAGGATATGAAGAGGGAGTAGAAGATGCGATAAAAGCACGACAGCGATAAGAGAGAAGGAGAAAAAGGCAAAATAATCAAACAAACACAAAATGTAGCATAATATGACAGATAGATCACAAGAAAGCGCAAAAAAATAAACATCGAAAGAAAGGCAAACAAGAAGGAGATACGATCAGGAGAAAGAAAGCAAAAGAGAAGTAATAAAAGATAGAATAGCAGCAAACCAGGAAGAGGCGAATGACATTAAGACATATCAAGAGAGAGAAGATAGGTAAAAAAAGAAGAGGTTGTTGTGGTGGTGGAAGTTGTGGTGGCAAATGTTGGGTTTGTGTATATGCTGGTTGTTGTGATTGTTGT